GTCTCTCTTTCTCTCCCTCTCTCTCCCCCCCTCTCTCTCTCTCTCTCTCTCTCTCTCTCATTCTCTCTCTGAGCAGTCGTCGTGCTTCGCAAGCCAAAGGTTCGAGAGTTTGTTCTGCAAGAGACGGAGCTGGCGCCTTGTATCATGAGGCTTCGGCACAGTGGTTGCTGTTTGCAAAGGTGTGCTGAAACATGGACTGGAGATATTCATACGCTGGAACAACACAGCGCTTCTTTGGAAGGTTCGCACGCGCACGCAACCCGCTAGTGCTGGAGTATGCAACCGCCTTGCTGCAGGCGACTGTAGTACTGTAGCTAGCTGCCGTGCAGTGCAGTGCAATTGATGTGGACTTCAGCTCTGTTGCCCCAGATTGTAGCAACCACCAACGATGCTCCGGGTACAGAGGACAAGGGTTGCCAAGGAAAAGGGTTATTCAGACTTTGAAAATGGTGCAGGACGGCTCGCCAGCCTGGGTAGAGCAGATCAAGGCCTGTCCCATGACGAACTGCGGGTCTTCATGTTAGCGTCATAGATTGCGTTAGCTAGGCATTCCGCTTTGAGCAGCACAACCCGGAGTGGTGCAGATGTGCCGGAGACTTGTTGTGCAGAAGTTCCTGCTCCAGACGGAAAGCAGACGGCACAGGTCAATCGCGAGTTGAGTGGTGGTACTGGTATGTCTCCTGGTGGGGCATACGGTGGTTATTATGACGAGCATGAGGCACCAGAGTTCGTGATCTGCCTTGTCCTGGAAGCCTTGAAGTAATGCAACTGATTGCATGTGAAATGCAGGGCAGCGGAGCGGAGGATGAAGAAGAGTTTGCATTTCATTGGTTGATCCCTCAGATTCAGATGTCTTCCATCCTGAGACATGTTCCGATGCTAGGGCGGGTGTTGATGCTGCTGATCCCCGTGACCTTGCAAAGCGTGACTGGGCCAACCAGGACAACTCGAAGATCATGCTTTCAGACACATTGAAATCTTGCCAGTGAGTTGCTTGCCGCTAGGATTTCGCACAGCTTTCCCACTCAAGCCGATGGCAATCGTGATTCTCCGCCATTACATGTGGGTACCACTGCAAACCTGCGGTGGGCTTGTACAGTACCCCTTGAGGAGGAAAACAAACTCCCGTCTCACACAACCCTCGTGGATCGGAATCATTCATGCACGTTGCCAAAGTGATGGCTGGGTTGGCGCTGCAGCGTGTTTGCTTGTTTTTGTAAGCTAGTCTGAAGCGTAATTAAAACGGCACAAGCAAGATCAGTACTTTGCAGTTTGACGACTTTAGTGGAGAGGTGCAAGGGTTGTGGATATTTGCTCAGCATCACCAAAATGCATTCTTTCACCTGCGCTTGCCAAGCGTGCACCCCTGAGTGTGAAAAGCTTCCGTCAACACTTAAAGCGTGGCGCCGCCAACACGAGCGGGAATTTCTCGAAGGACTCCTCAATCCCTCTTTGAAACCCCGCTTTATTCCCTTTTCATTCCAAAAAGATGTACAAGGCATGGCGCAGATGAAGGTTGACACATCGATCTTATAGAGCGAACTGCATCGTAAACATCGTAAGTGTCCCCTTGAATGCTCTTGTGTTCCAGCCAGAGGGGCAAAGTTGGACCTGCGGACACAGGTCTCGTAGCTCACTGCGGAGATGCATTGCAATCTTTTGCAAGGAGAGTGGATGGAAAACCACACAAAAATGTAGACAGGCTTGCATGCGCGTTCAGTAAGTAACTACGCACGAAAATTTGAGCTGAACTCTCAACTCTGAGCTCGGTTTAAAGCGGGCATTGTTGGTTGGTCGTTTGCTCGGTGTCTTGCATCGGCCAATGGCAGCACGCACCACTCAGGGCAAGAGCACCAAGAGGTTAATGCGTATGGGATGGCTTGAGACGTGTGAAGTTCCCAGGTCACTGCATGCTCCAGCTCTGCACCATGTGGATCCATTTGGCAACTTCTGCCTGTATGAACGGCAAAAGTGTGACGCCAGGCCTCTGGGGAGCTGAATGAATCAGCAAGAAGCTGTTGCCATACTAATGCCTCGGGCCCGTAACCTCAGTACACCTGACATCATACAAGTATGACTGGTTCCAGAAAACTGGATGAACTGAATGGCTGGCAGTATACTACAATTCCCTATGTGAGCTGCTGTCAATATTATCTTTACCAAGGGACCATTAAGGGTGGACACTGGTGGAGATAGTGGTCCCCTTTGTAGCCCCTAATATATAGTTCCTAATAAGCAACCCATGTCCACCAAATTATGTAAGAAACATTGACAGTAGCTCGTGTGAACCCTGTAACACAAAACCTTTCTTGCGGTTGATGTGGATCTAGACGGACGTGCAAATCCTGCTGCATGATTACACAAATGAGCCCTGCTTTCCTTAGCCATGCCTTTGGATGGAGCTTGGGCACGTCTCGGGGTGCCTTGAGAGCCCAGTTCCGCGGCAAAGAAAGTGAGTTGTTTTCCTGCCCATGTATTAGAATTGATTTGGCGGGGCCTTGAGATCCTAAATCTACCAACAGACATTGTAAAGACTGTGAATTGATCTTCCTCTCCACGATGTTGGATGGATGTGGGGCTTTGCATGGATTTGGGGCTTTGGGCAGAAAGGCGCAATCAACAAAATCAGTCATAGTTTTCTTAGCCATGCCTTTGCATGTGGGGTTTGTCGGATCCTGGCGAACCTGGGTCCTGAAACGGGTGGCGCTGAAATACGTCCCATGACAGGAGTTGCTTGCTTCTGACTTGAAAAGGGGACGGAACAATTTCAATACATATATATATATGGTA